TAGATAACATTAGTGAAGAAAAATGCGCAAAGGAGACGTAGAATAAATATTCGGAAGGAAACCATAAAAATATGTCTCACCTCAAAATTCTGTTCTGTAATTTGAAGAAATATAATTTCAATAATATCGCGTTTCAATTGCATTATATTTCGATTACGCTCGCGATGAAAGTAATTAGCTGAAAGGTTTGAATTATGTAATTGAATTACGGCGTAGTTGAATTACTACGTAATTGAAACACAATGTAATTAAATCGCGACATTGAATTACCGTGCAGTCGAATTGACACAACTCTATTTTACGTACCACGTAATTATCGCATTATTCGTGAATATAATACGTGGTCTGTAAAAATAATTTAACCCGCGACGGGTTAAATGGAGAAACACTTGTTATTAAAAATTATAGCGAGTCTGTTTTGGCGAATTCGCGCGGATCGGACGGCAGTGCTGGAGCCAATTTTCTCTGCTTGTCTTACCGAATCAGACTAGTATCCCGGAGTATAGGCTCGCAGGAAGCGGGGGATGAAGGTAGCAAGAGGCGAGTAATCTGAGCGCGGAGAGAGAGAAAGGGGAGGGAGAGGGGGGAGAGAGAGAAAGAGAGGAAGAGAGAGGAAGAGAGAAGGAGAGGAGGAGAGAAGGAGAGAGAGGGAGAGAGAGGGAGAGATAAAGAGGGAGAGGGAGAGATAGAGAGGGAGAGGGAAGGAGAGAGAGGATCGAAGTCGAGAAATTCGCGACGTCTGGAGGAACGAGGCTGGGGGAGGGTCAAGCTGAATCGCGTGAATATTAACTCGACAGTTGGTCGCCACATAAACGCCAACCGTTGATATATCCTATCCTCACCCTCCCGTGGCCAGCACCGCAATAATACTCGAATGGTGGGTGCCTCCTCCTCCTCCTCCGCCTCCTCCCTCAGCCCGGCCGCTCTCTTCCCTTTTCAGTTTCTACCCTCTATCCGAGAGTATCCTCGATGACTCCCCACCCTGTCGGCCGCACGCGCGTCTACGTGGCAATGAACACACACATAGAGGCGCACACGTACCCGAAACGTTTCTATGCACTTACAGCCCGGTCAAATGAAAATTTTACTCGTGCCGAAGGCTGGCCCTTTATGACTTCGGGCTAGGTTCTCTTTGCATTGCCGAAAATTGCGCTGCGGCTGTCGTATTTAACTTAAATAACCCGCCCGACCCACAGGACGCCACGTGGGAAACGGATGATTTATCAGATCGGTCCTACCAAGTCATCCTGCCATCGCCCGCACTCGAAACGAGAGGGCAACAATGCGTTTTGAGAACTTTTACGTGATCTATGTGGCTAGATAGATGCAATTCGTCTAGCCGAATGTTTTTCGTGGTTTTCGACATCTGGCTTCTGCAGGACCGAGGCGGAGTTAAGCAAACTTTCGGGCGCGTTACGTCGCACATAATGTTTTATCAAATTAAGACAATGGCTATTGTGTTTCCTAACTTTTTTGCCAGTTATTTCTGTATTCTGTCGTTCCTCTTTTCTTACTTGTCTGTTCGATAGTCAGAAAAATGAGTGTTCATAATGGCAAACAGTAGAGAGATTAAAATGGTTTGATAATGTGAATGTATTATCTTTTGAATGATTATTATTAGAATTATTAAGGAGAAAAAGCAATATTTAAGTTACTTCTATTTTTTGCGTTTCGCATAAAGATCCGCAATCCAGTTTGTCCCGTTAAAATATTGAAATAAATGCATAAATGAAAATAAAATTTTAGTCGGATAAGAGATAAAGACTAAGTTATTCGTTATCATAAAAAGTTGTTCGTGCAGGAATTCATTTGAATGCGAATTTATTCGTACAGGAATTCATTCGAATGAGAGAATTTATTCGTACAGGAATTCATTCGCATGAGAATTTATTCGTACGGGAATTCATTCGAGTACGAATTTATTCGTACAGGAATTCATTCGAGTACAAATTTATTCGCGTACAGGAATTCATTCCAGTAAGAATTTATTCGTACAGAGAATTCATTCGAATACAAATTTATTTATACAGGAAATCATACGGAAAATAATCGATTTTAAACAATGCACAGTACAGCATCGAGTACCTTGAACAATTCATTGAAAAAATTGATAAGCAAAATTATGCTTAGTAAAAAAAATCTGTCTTTCGAGTACCAATTAATGAAACCGAATCTAAATAGTTAAAATTTACCATAGAAAATATTAGTTAAACTCGTTTGTATTCTAAAAATTTCGCCAACATTCAGTTTGTTCGATATACATATATTACAATAAAAATGGATCTCAAAATCTAGTTAAAAATCAGTGTTATCAATATATGACCGACGCGACACTCTGTGAAACTAATATTTCTTGCAATTGTTGCAGCGAGCTTTTCTTCCGCGCAAACGCACGTAGTCCAAAGATTAAGTCCACGGTTCTACGTGGCCGAAGTTGCTTAAGCTAATCTCAGGCTGTCGTCGTTACAGAAATCTTGGATGCTGTAACGACCAAGTTTTCTCTCGTAATTGACCGTGTAGGTGCTGCCCAGTTGGTCCTCTCATACATTTGCATCGAATTCGATCGAGCTTCCGCGACAAGCACATTTTGTGGAAATCGTTGCGGAAACTCTATGAAGCAATTCGAATCAATTACGAATGCCTCTAGAACGGTGTACATTGCATAATAATTTCCATAAATACCGGCGCACAGCGCATGCGATGCAGCTTAAATCTTCTTAGTTGTGTGGTTGTAATAAATAGGGAAGACTCAACCTCCAAGCTACTTAATAATCACCACTAGACCAAGGATTTGTATGCATTCGTGGTGCACGCAATTTCCAAGGTACAAGTAACCGTGCATGCAGGTCAAAATTAGCAGCAACTATGTCGTCATTTTATCGCAAAATAAGTATTTCAGTCAGCGTAGGTTTTTAATTTACGATTATTTCAGATTGCAAAGATACATTTATGAGTTCTTCGTTGTTACCAGCGGCGATTGTTACAAATAACACTCGTTAAATATCAGAATAAATCTCTTGTTATTACTTTTATGAACTAATATATAAAACAGCTGCTTTTAGTGCTCCGTAAATCTAGCGTTAATTAGTACGCATAGTTTATCCTCCCCTCCATTCTTTCGCAGCGAGAAAAATCCCCGAATCGCGGCACTATTGATAGCCTTCCAACCGCAGTAAAAATGACCGTAATTTATCTGACAATTTCGTCACCACCGATATTATAACCACAATTACGCGGATAATCGTACATTCGCACGAACACCAATGGTTTACCTAAACATCGTCGACCAACAGTTTGACGCTCGCGAGTGTAGCGACAAATTTCTCACGATTAATTCGATCCGATATTTATCGGCGCCAGTAAAAATTTATGCGGTCAGCGGAAACCGAAAGAAATATTTGCATTATACGAAATATCTCGGACGCATCGAATCTCCATATTTATATTACATAATTAATTGCTGTTCCCGTTAACGTTTTAAGCCGTCCGATGGCCTCGGTTCACAGCCGCCCTGCGCCGCCGTGGCAATGCTCTCTCTCTCTCTCTTTCTCCCTTTCTCTTTTTTTTTCTCTCTCTTTTTCACTCTTTTCTTCTCTCTCTTTCCGCCATCGGCCGCATTATGACATTCATGTTTTCGCATTACGCAGAAACTTTTAGCGGTATCGATCGGAACTTTTCGCTTACTTTTAACTTTTCACTTAACTATTACAACGCGGGACATTTAAATGGCTTCGGAGTTAATGCGTTAGAACGAAAAAAGAAGAAGAAGAAGAAGAAGAAGAAGGAGAAGAAGAAGGAGAGACGAGGAAGCGAGAGGGAACAAGAGCAAGTTATAATACACTTTCAACCTTAATTAAGCGTCGGCTCAGAACGGGCCGCCGAACTAGTCTAATTATTTCCAATATACTTAGAAACACGAATGAACGTATAGATTCGGTGCGTTCCAGAAGTACGAACATTCGTTGTTGGTCAGCGATTTGTCGGCGAATTTGAAAATATCCTTTCGCGAAGAGCATCCGAAAACGTTTCCGAAAACTTCAGTCGATGTATGGCTTAGGAGTCCTTAAAATTGACATAAATGAGGATTTTGCAAATTGGCTGGAAAAAGAAATTACGATGCCACTAATAATGCAAAGCACAATTTTTGCTATAATCAAATACAAATAATATTCTTTTTACAATATTTCTTATTTTGTTTAGTCATGCCGTGATCCATATAACCGGTGCTGGTCTGTTGTTTACTTATTATTAATATTATTGTTTATTATCGACCATATCGATTCGTCGACCGAAAGATCCTACGATAAAGATGTGTGTCTTTGCACCGCGCAGCTGATCTTCAAAGAAAAGTAGATCGAGTTCGTATATTCGACGGATCGCGATCAAAATATCGCAAAGATGTTACAGCGAGAAGCTGAAAGGGTTGGTGCGTTATACCTAAAGCAAACGTAATTTCTGTTGCAGTACGTATGGCGTATGGCCGACTCTATGGCATGGCATCGCGGGACATTGTTCTTTGCTTCTTTCTCGCCGGCTTCGTTTATTCAAGTTTCGGTAAGAGTCAAATGATATTTCCTTTTCACGGGGCTCGAGTACTCCTCACCCGATTACCAAGCCCGAGGGAGGAAACTGGAGGTAGGTAGGTGGGTGTTGGCGGATAGTAGACGGGCGCAGGCGGGGGTGGTTGCACAGTCCGAAGAGAGGGACCCGGCAGAAGTTTCAATTGGCCGCAATACGAAGCGAAAGTTACAAGTTTTTAATCCCTACAAAATGATGGGAACGAATCTCACCGTTGTATCCGTAATAGCATCTCGCCGTACTTTTTCTTCGGTCCCCGCCACCCCGCCGCCCCCGGTTCTCTTTCTCCCTCTTTTTCTTTCTCTCCCTATCCGTCCGCGTTTCTTTGCTCCACTTTTCGGTAAGAATCAAATAAAATGCTTCTAAAAGCACTATCGGGAGTCCTCGGGTTCCCGTAAAAGCATTCCCGCGAACCAGGCAAGCCAGAAATTACGTGTACATCCGAACGTTACGATTGTTTCTGCTCGGAGGCAAATGAAAAAGCAAATTTCGCTCGTTAGCCGCGCCAACAAACTCGTACAGGCTGATTCGATCGCGGACTTCCCAGCGCTCCGCTTTCTCCAAGTAATTCTCGGGAAAATTCGCTGCGCTGATTATTCTCTATGAGCGCGTCTGCGAGGTGCGCGCGTTCAGGGTTGGCAGACGGGGGGGGGGGGGCGACTACGGATTCGAAACAAGCCACTATACGTCGGTGTTCAATCAGCGCGGAATATGAATGATAATTTTAAGTACAAACTTCTTGAACGTGTCGCGGAATATTTGAACTGGGAATCTTACGAAATTTGTTGAGTATCATTGTATAACTAAAGAATTGACTCTCTCTCTGCAAATTGCAATCGTCGCTGAAACTATCATGTTGCCATTTTAAACGATTTGTATATGGTCAAATGTATTTGCAATTGATAAGTTAAAAATTCAAGTGTCTTATAAATTAATGCGATCTGTTTCATTCGTTTCTTCGTTTGGCAATTTCGACAGAATGAAAGTAGCATAACAAATGCTACAAATGATTTTACAGATTCGTGTTTTATGTATTCACTTTAAAATCCTTGCAGCTTCAAATTCAATACGTTTTTTCTGATATTACGCTAATTTTTCGCATCATTTTTATTATCTATCTATATATATATATATATACATATATATTTAAATATTATTTATTATTGTACATATTGTATACTTGTAACAGGTAATTGTCCTCAGTGCAATCGATAAAATATTTACAAGAATTCCATACGACCGTCCTCAGTGTGCATAAAGTAGAAAATTAATATCCGCAGTGTAATGTCTGGCAGATAAAATCGGTGCACCAAAAAAGAAACTATTTACGACTCGCAGCAGCCTAATTCGTTTTCGCTCTCCGCGCTCTCCGCTGTACGAATAGAGTGAAAGAAGGACAGGGACAGGGGCGGGTCTATGAATAATACTCTCGGGCCGCCACACAAAAGGGGGTAACGCGCGAAAAAGTAACCGGGCGCAATATTTTTCTTCGGCGTTTTAATATTAGACGGGCGACAGGAGTTCAGCCGACCATAAATCTCGCCACCGTGGATTTGAATCGGCCTGTACGAGGCGTCGATAAAAGCGTCGCGGCGCCGCGCGGCGCGGAGCGGCGGCCGGTTCAATTTATTCGATCCGAGCGTCGGATTGCACGGGACAATTATTATTTAATAAGGCGCAGGAGCTCGTGACGGACCGGGTGACACGGTTAATAAACACCCTAGTTACGAGGGACCCTTTCTTCATTTTCCTCCCTCCCTCTCTCTCTCTCTCTCTCTCGTTCTCTCTCTTTCTGCCCCTATTTCTCTTGTTCGATCTCGGTTCATTTTTTTTCCAATGGCCACGCGTGCCACGCGACAAAAAGCGCGTCGTCGATGAGAAATTGAAAGAAACTGAATGGTCGACGGAAAAAGAATTATTGCCACTATAACTCCGCCCGCGCACCGCTCCCATGAATCTATGCGCCTGCGATATGCATGACGAACTAGATTAAGCCGATCGGTAAAAGAGATGTAAAGATTAAGAGAAATCAATATCGGCCCGGAAGGATGGACGGTCTCTGCAGGCGAAACAGAGTCAGAGAGAATGAGAACGCCAGAGAGAGAGAGAGAGAGAGAGAGAGAGAGAGAGAGAGAGAGAGAGAGAGAGAGGTTTCCTCGAACCGTAGATTCCGAACATAGATTTTAGGGGATAGCATTTGTCCGGCCACAGGGCGTAAAGCTGAACTTGCTGCAATCGTTGAGCTCGACGACTAAATGAACTATCCCGCAGTTTTGGTATTGTAATTTTTCGATGCAGCTCGCAACAAATGACAATGCAATCGCGGTACAACGGAAATGGGGACGTGCAAGAACGCAGGACGCGAGTTTATGCGCGTGATTCTATTGCTGCAGCCAATGTGCATCGATATCCGTTGCTTTGAACAATTTTTTTTCGAAGATAGAAACGATTTGTCTTGTTTATTGATCAGCCAGAAGAATGGACAATGCACGCGTTTCTTTCGTACGCGCTGATTTTTAGATTACGCAGTTTTAGCAGTCGTGTAGCTTGCTAGTTAATTCGAGACCGTGTAAATCAATTTTCTGCTCCTGCAATCGTCTAATTAAGTCAAGTGGATTATAAAGTTTGCACTGCTAGATTATACGGTTCGTATCTTGAGTTGCGCATCACCGTGCACAGACGCGATTCTGAATTGTTGTATTTGTACAGTTTCCAATTTGTTGTACCCGTACAGCGCCGAGAAATTGTCGTATCTGTATCGTTTATAAATTGTTGTATTTGTACAGCGTCTAAATTGTTGCACAGTGCCGAAATTATTACACCGCGCAGCACGGTTCCTAATTTATTTTCTACATTTTCGCACCGACTCGCAGCCCCATTTGCAAAGCCTTCGCGCGCAACAGTCGCTTTGATTATCTATTTCGAAGATCAAAGTTGCCGAGCGCAGCTCCGCTTTCGAGTCTTAAAAAGTCGGCCGGAAAATAAAGCAAATGAACGGAGCCAAAGACTGAAATTTCACCGTCCTTCGGATCTCTTCATCGATCACGCTGCGGAACTATGGTTTAAACGGATGGACGAATGATGAATGATGAATGAAAGCTTATGAAACTTCGAGCTCTAACATGAAACTGAAATTAGGTGTACACGAACATGATTACTGGGCCGCGCGGATCTTTATGAAAACTTCGTTCTACACATCCGAAAACTGGGTCGAGCGAACAATTTTTTTGTCGGAACTGTTCAAAATGTCCCATGCGTGTTTAAAAAAATTATAAATCGACGATAAGCAGCTTTTGCTCTGCACCGGAAATTTGCCAAAGCGACGAATGCAGTTTATCGATCACGCGTGGGAGTTAGGCGTATTTTATTCGAATAACAAATATCATTTTATTCATNTTTTTTCCAATGGCCACGCGTGCCACGCGACAAAAAGCGCGTCGTCGATGAGAAATTGAAAGAAACTGAATGGTCGACGGAAAAAGAATTATTGCCACTATAACTCCGCCCGCGCACCGCTCCCATGAATCTATGCGCCTGCGATATGCATGACGAACTAGATTAAGCCGATCGGTAAAAGAGATGTAAAGATTAAGAGAAATCAATATCGGCCCGGAAGGATGGACGGTCTCTGCAGGCGAAACAGAGTCAGAGAGAATGAGAACGCCAGAGAGAGAGAGAGAGAGAGAGAGAGAGAGAGAGAGAGAGAGAGAGAGAGAGAGGTTTCCTCGAACCGTAGATTCCGAACATAGATTTTAGGGGATAGCATTTGTCCGGCCACAGGGCGTAAAGCTGAACTTGCTGCAATCGTTGAGCTCGACGACTAAATGAACTATCCCGCAGTTTTGGTATTGTAATTTTTCGATGCAGCTCGCAACAAATGACAATGCAATCGCGGTACAACGGAAATGGGGACGTGCAAGAACGCAGGACGCGAGTTTATGCGCGTGATTCTATTGCTGCAGCCAATGTGCATCGATATCCGTTGCTTTGAACAATTTTTTTTCGAAGATAGAAACGATTTGTCTTGTTTATTGATCAGCCAGAAGAATGGACAATGCACGCGTTTCTTTCGTACGCGCTGATTTTTAGATTACGCAGTTTTAGCAGTCGTGTAGCTTGCTAGTTAATTCGAGACCGTGTAAATCAATTTTCTGCTCCTGCAATCGTCTAATTAAGTCAAGTGGATTATAAAGTTTGCACTGCTAGATTATACGGTTCGTATCTTGAGTTGCGCATCACCGTGCACAGACGCGATTCTGAATTGTTGTATTTGTACAGTTTCCAATTTGTTGTACCCGTACAGCGCCGAGAAATTGTCGTATCTGTATCGTTTATAAATTGTTGTATTTGTACAGCGTCTAAATTGTTGCACAGTGCCGAAATTATTACACCGCGCAGCACGGTTCCTAATTTATTTTCTACATTTTCGCACCGACTCGCAGCCCCATTTGCAAAGCCTTCGCGCGCAACAGTCGCTTTGATTATCTATTTCGAAGATCAAAGTTGCCGAGCGCAGCTCCGCTTTCGAGTCTTAAAAAGTCGGCCGGAAAATAAAGCAAATGAACGGAGCCAAAGACTGAAATTTCACCGTCCTTCGGATCTCTTCATCGATCACGCTGCGGAACTATGGTTTAAACGGATGGACGAATGATGAATGATGAATGAAAGCTTATGAAACTTCGAGCTCTAACATGAAACTGAAATTAGGTGTACACGAACATGATTACTGGGCCGCGCGGATCTTTATGAAAACTTCGTTCTACACATCCGAAAACTGGGTCGAGCGAACAATTTTTTTGTCGGAACTGTTCAAAATGTCCCATGCGTGTTTAAAAAAATTATAAATCGACGATAAGCAGCTTTTGCTCTGCACCGGAAATTTGCCAAAGCGACGAATGCAGTTTATCGATCACGCGTGGGAGTTAGGCGTATTTTATTCGAATAACAAATATCATTTTATTCATAGAAAATCCGAAATAAAATTGTATCTGCAGAATTTATTCGAAATTCTATTCGGATAAAATTTGGAATAAAATTTTCTTGGAATAATTCCCGACTCTGTTACTGTCCGCCCGCGAGTTGAGACTTGCAAATGTTTAAACAACGAGCCGAATACACTCGCGTGCCTGAAAGCATGTCCAACGGTCCAGCCGAAGCTGTTAATAAGCCAAACTCCCACGAAATCCAAAACAATGAGGCAGAAGTTACGCGTGCGGAAAATTTCTTTCGGCCAACCCAGACGATTGTACGGTCGCATTCAGCTTTGCGCCCTGTGTGTAGTTTTGCGATGGGAGCGCAAGCTAATTAGATGTAAAGTTGCCGGATCGTTAATTACACGATCGTTAATTATGCCGAGCCAGGTCAAGCGATGCCAAAGTCCGAGCTCGAGCCCGAATTTCTAGCACTTCTGGAGAACCATACGGTCATTCAAGGTCGTAACGTCTCCTTCACCTGCGTCGTTAATGATCTTCAATCCTACAAGGTAATTGCATCCGCGGGTCGTTGTGTGTAATTAGCGAGTCGATTAAGGGCGTGGGCCGCGGTCGAAATTCATAAGCGATACGATATCTAAACCGCGCGAAACGATGGATCGCGGAACGCCGGCGAAATGTTCGCGGAACGGTGAAGTCTGCGCGTTCACAGCTTTTACGTACGCGCGCAGTCATTGTAAAAACTTTCTGGCCTAATATTACCTGAGTTTACCGCGATACACCGGTCGTATACGACGGTCGTTACCAGAGAAATGCAGATACGCACGTGACTTACCGGGCGTTCCAGAATTACAGGCTTCGTACAGGTATACCTTGCTTCTGATGTGACATTTCTGAATGACATTCGTTCATTCATTTTCTTAAACATTTCCTGTAAAAATGAGGAAGTCCGAACGTCTACGCTTTTAGATATGGCAATGTGAAATCACTGCGGTCGCAATTAAAAAATACTGCACGGAGAAACGAGAAAATAAAGAAATCCTAAAAAGTCACATGTCGCAGAAAGTCGTCATTGAACAGTCTTGAAATGAAATCCTCTCGGTAACGTCGCACGAATACAAGACAATAACGAATGATTTCTTCGTCCATTCAACGAAATCTTCATGTATTTATTTGTCAAACTATTTCATGATAAAACGAAGAAGTTTAAACGTTATATCTCCAAGTGCGATCATGTCAAATCACTGTAGCCACATCCGAGAACCATTGCACGGAAAAACCAGAGAACAAAGAAGCCCGAAATGTCGCGTTCCAAAGAACATTCTCACGAAATAGTTAATCGACACGGAATAAAATTCTCTCGGCACGATCGCACGATAAAAGACGAAGAAAGATTGTCTGTCATCTCGTCAGCGATCAGTCAATTGCCGCGGCACCTCCGCACTCCGAAAACTACTCGAAAGCCCCTGGATCGTGAACGATGAAACTGCCATGAAAGCATTGTCATTGTAAACGACGCGATCAGTGCTCTCGAAACGTCCCGGACTTTCTGAGCAGCCAGTAGCCAGATTGCTAAGACATTTCCCGGGAACGCGGGCATCAGCTGAAAACAATGCCAAAACGAGATCATCGTTCCTCAGGTAAATCACGTAACACACCGATGATCTCGCGACTTGGAGCAGCAGTAGCAGCATTGGTAGCAGCAGCAGCAGCAGCAGCAGCAGCAGCTAGAGCGGTGTGCGCCGATAATGATAAAGTCTGTACGTGTGTCAGCATGTGTCAGTATCGGTGGCCGCGTGTATGTGAGGCTTTCCACGGCCGGCAGTTCTGTCCAGAGCCCCTTGTGGGACAGAGCTGCCGAGTAATTCACTTTCGAGAAGAAGTCCAAGTTTGATTGCGCGCCCGAATCGACAATCGCTTCTATCGCGAGATGAAACGTTCTTGGCGCGTGTTCAGAGGATTTCGTCCTCGTGGATTCCGAGAATGGAACACGCTATGGACAGGGTATATAGAGAGCGGCGCGAAGAAGTAGAAAAGAAGTGGGCGGCGGTGGAAGAACAGAGACGGGGAAAGAAGAAGTGGAAAAAGTGGTAGGCAACGGGGACGACGACGACGACGACGACGGTGAATGTTACGCCCCGGGAGTATCCGGCCCGGATCGAGAGAAAAGACGCTGCCGAAAGAACGGATAGAAATCAGAGCCGCTAATGTGGAGTACAACGTGAATGGGTCTGATTTTTACCGGTCCCGACTGCCTCTTCTTCGTCGCGACTTTCGCTCGCACGTTGTTTGCGTCTCCTGCTCGCTGTTCAAACGCAATTTTAAATCTTTCAGGCTCGGCCGGATTGCGAGGAGCAGGAACACCACCGTTAGCCACATCCCGATTCTCGAGAGATTCGATCCCGATGCTGCTAGTCGTTCGTTCCGAGCCGAATGTTCAAGCGATTGTTCGCAAATTTTTTGAGCATCGTTACCTAATTTGTTTGTAATACTTTTAAATCGCATTTAGGTTTGTACAGAATGCAACGAAATTATTTGTTGTTTCGGTTTCGCGTCATTCGAGGGCTTTTGTTCGCGAATTAAACGGCCTTTCCATTGTTTGGTATTTTTAGAACATTGAGAAACAAGCTTGAACAGCGTGGCAGAATATTAGGATGTTAAACGGTTTATACTTTGAACGATGAAGGTGGTGGTACAGGGTTGTTGAACAAAGTTTTTGGCTGTAGTTGAATTCTTCGTTGAGTCGGTATCAAAACTTTCTCGCTCGAAACTTCGTAAAACAGCGAATGCGTTAACACTGTCATTCTTTATACGACGAATTTTAATGTCGCGCTTGATTTGTCGTTAACGAAAGCATTTTTCATCTGGAATATATTGATTCAATTCTTAACTATCGTTGTACTGTACTCGCGTTAACGACTTTGTTGCAGGATTCGCGTCAACAACGAATTCCTTTCCAATTTCTCCGAACGGTTCAAATACCCGGCGATGTCTCGATGGCCCCCGTAAATCCTGCCGAATATATTAACAAAAAATTCTGCCATGCTATTCGACGCTTCGAACGAACGTTTATCAACGGACAATGATCATTTCTCCCCGTCGACGCGTAGTAAATAACAGAACACCGAGTAATTATGATCAAGTTTGCCTCCAACTCGTGCGCCGATCGAATCAGGAAAAAGCGTAATAAATTTCCCGCGGTGTATAATCGTGTGAAGAATTATTTCTTTGCTCGATCGAGGCTTCATTGAAATCGGGGAATTTTCGAGGCTCTCCTTGTCAGTCACAGGCCGGCCATTGGACCCGACCTTTCGACGCTGTTCTATGGCAGTGCTTCCCAAACCATGTTCCACGCGCTACGACTTCAAAAACAATATTTCAAGGCTTCCCCAATTTTCCCTATTCAAAATTCATCGATGTTCGAACTACCATAACTTGGTAAAAAAAAAATCGCACGATAATAAATCCAAAGTTCGAGCTTTTAAATGAGTCCACTTTCATTGCCATCCAATGCAAGCAATTTCATCGCTTTGCCTGAGTTCATGTAACAATGAGTAATTTGAATGCACTAATTCTTGGTTCCACTTATGCCAAATATCGTCTGTTAAGAGCTTCCGAGCATCCTCAAATGGGATTTCAATGTTCGGCTAGCATTCCTATTTATTTTCGGTTTCATTAATTAAATGACTTCGACGTTGAGAGAATTTTGGGGGTCGATATTCGGCGCTTAATATGTTAAAGATCCTCGGTGTAATAATTGATGCTAATCAACCATAGAAAAATAGCCAAAAGCGTTGCCTAATGGTGTTCGTATTTGCAAAGTAGTTGGTCGTAGAAGTTTGGGAAGCGCTGTTGTCGAGCACGATGCTCGGGGCGTCGATTGTTTGCGGAAAAAATTTGTTCGGCCAACAGGTAGAGAGTGATTCTGTCGGCGGGCACGGCGAGCAGTCTATCAGCGTTATTTATGCACACCTTAAATTCTATTGGATCGGGCCACGGCCGGTAACCCTGCACAAGCCCTGCCGCCTCCTGCCACCCTCTGACGCCCTCGTGCGTTTCGCGTCATTCGAGAGCTTTTGTTCGCGAATTAAACGCCCTTTCAACCGTTCAATGGAACCGTCGTTTGATATACGACAGATCGAGCACGCAGCAAGTATGCGCCCGCAAACGAGACCGATCGCAGCTAACGCGGTCGGATTGCAATTTGATTCCCGGAATCCAATAACAGTGTTCATTGACATGTGCTCGCGGATCCTGCGCAAGTAAACAATTACGTTCTGCGCAGAGTCGTGGCGAAATGAACTCTCAGATTCGCGGCAACGAAGAATATCGCGTCCTCTTAACAACCACGGGATTTCGTGGAATTTTCATGGGATAGACGGAGTGCAGCGGTGGTTGTTGGTAGAGACATATCCAACGCGAATATTCAACGATATTTGTAACATCAGTTTCGTAAATATTTTTTATCTGCAGTCGCCGAATGCGATTCGGACGTTCCGCGATTTTCAGAATGTCCACGATTTTCATGCTGTTGCATCTTCGCGAAAAATATTTGTATTATGATCAATCGGGACTCGTTTCGAAGCTCGACGTTTATTCTTTCGCGGTACATAATTCGCTCTCCTGTAAACTGTTTTTGCAGGTAATACTGGTCGAGAAACTGTAGACTTGTTTTTGCTCGAAAAATGATAAAAATTCAAACGTTTGTACGTAGCTTGTCACTCATTTTTCTTTTATAAAATGACTAAAAGAAATCGTAGATTACGTTTTGGGTTGTCATTGTAAAGGAGAAGCTTCGATCTACAAGTCTACGGTAGATTCAATAAGGAAAAAAATTTCCTCAATGATTTTGCAGACATTCCGAGCTGCAACACTTTTCGAGAAAAAAACATGTCTTCGGTTTCCTTCATTTCTCTCTTCGCTGGACTATGCAAGAAAATCTGAAGAAAGAATGAACTACGCGGTAGAAAAGTGGAGGCTTTATGCTTTAAAATGAGTCCGGGTTCTTTGTTCTACGTTTATTTTTAAAGAAGCTATAGCAGTTCTAGAAAATTGATTTCATTAATCAGACTGCTTTATTAAAGTCCTTTCCGTAAATGGGGGACCAACCAGCCCTGGTTAAACGAGCTATAAAATTAGCGGAAAGAATTATTGCGACTGTAATACACCTGCCCGCAGAAGCACGAAAGTCGCCATTTACATTTTAAGACATAACCTCGGTTATATCTCTTGTCGTACGAAAAATTACATTACGATGCCGGGAAGATAACCGCTGCCAGAGGGAAGTCACGTATACGTGATGCTGGCTGATAACCGGTGGCTAACGAAATCACGCACACGTGACAGCGGCCGTCACTGTTAAGGCTTGCTTTATTTATCTTGGGTTCATAAAACTTTCCCGAAAGTTTGCGTAACTGAAATCTCCGCTGCGAATCCACTTTTACCGAAGAACTGCTTGCCGTACGCGGTCATTATTTCACAAACATCGGAACATTGGATTATAACCGTAAAAAAGATCTCAAGGGCTCGAAAGCGGAAACTTGACGCTTTA